GTCGCAGTAAGGTATAGGCGAACAATCGTTCGAATTGTGATCGTAAGTGTAATTTGTTGAAGTGATTAGCGTAATAAAATTTTATTGGTTTAGTGATATGCAAATATTCTTATTGATGCACTTTGAAAATATGTTTCTCAGAAAAACTCTTTCTGTAGTTAAAACAAATGATTGAATTAAGTACACATATGAACATATGGACTTGTGCATATCTCCATATGCATACATATTGTACAGATAAGCAGAAAAATGTAAATAAAAATAAACGAATACCTATATGGAAACGAAATTATATTCTATAAATACGTCTAATAATACATACTAAAAAATATACATATATACATAACGTATGTATACAAGTACAACAAAAATCACCTTGTTTGTAAACAATGGAAAACCGCTATACGTACATGAACATAAACAGGTACACGTATGTCAGTCAAAACAACGCTATAAGCAGCTGAGATTATCCATTTGTAATAAATGCAAAATATGTATGTACATATGTACATACTATGTATATACAGTGACTCAAACCAGTGACCACCTGTTGATTTTTATTAATATTCACATTTTTTTGGGGGTTAATTTTGCTTTTGTTATAAAGGACAACCTGTTGAAAAATCGCGCTGATGTGTAATATTTTTTTTGTGAGTGCTTTTGCGGTTGTTTTTTTTTTTAACTAATAAGTGTAATTTATGAAAACTGGCGTTGATTTCATTCATATTTATATGGTCAAAAATCCGTCAGCACAAAATAAATATCAAAGACTAGTGCACTTTTTTAGCCGCTAGAAACTTGAACTCTATTGTATGGGCTACAAAGATGTTCTTACACGATATGTATTTGCATGTGTACATGCCAATTTTTACATATGGATGTGGCAACATATCGTGTAAATTAGACAAAATAGGATTTGTTTCTGTACAAAGCAGATGCACGTACATACGAAATAGATTTTTTTTTTTATTTTCATCTGACACACAGATATAATCATATAAGTTTAGTTTATTTCGTTTTCAAAGAACGTATTTTTACATAATATGTAGTTAAATAAAGACTGCGAATTTGACAGACATACGCAATTACATATGTATTGAAAAAGTCACATTTTCAGATGCAAATACATATCGTATAAGAACACCTTAAAACTACATACCCAAAAGTGTTCTAAAGATTCACATTAAAAAGTTGAAATTTTGATGAAAATTTGTTACATTTTACTATATTTTGTGTAAAGTTTGAAACTGTGATGCATATAGTATATGGTTTTGCTTATAGCTTGGGCAATATTGTTATAAATAAATAACAAAAAAAGTAAAAAGAAAGATGATGAATATTTAAAAAACATCAACACGTGGTCACTTGTTTGAGTCACTGTATGTGGATACTCTGCTCCTGCCAGATCACATCATCGCTAGTGTGTGACCGCCTCACCCTGTGTTTTGCGCCTACCTGTTTATTATTTTCCAAGTGGATATTTAGAATAATAAAGTCGCTTAAGTGAGTTAAATAGTTACTCAAACGTTTGCCACTTGAAATTTTAATTGTTTCATTATATCATTTCTTAATATATGTATGTATATGTTTACATTGTAAATATACATATGCATGTACATATGTACATACGTACATACATATGTGTGATTTTCTTATACATCGTTAATTATTCCAGACGTAGTTACGGACAGGTCGAATTTGGTTATCTGTTACGTTTTTGGTGACTCTAAAAGGTCACACAATGTTTCGAAACCTCGCCATACTTATTCGGATAAATTATTGTAAGAATTGTTGTTTTTTGATAGATAAGTATCCGTATATAAATATTTTGTGACTAATATGCAAAAAAATTTAGACATTAAAAACATGTAAACACAGCTAATTAGTACGAGTAAGTACGTCTAAATGTATACTTATAAATACTCACGCATAGTTAATTGCATGCTTACATATTTAAATGCACACATTGCTGTTTTTGAGTGAAAAGCTGTGAAGTAACTTTCTCAAACATAACGACAAGAACATCCCGAGGTATTCTCGATCGGCAAAAAGTTAGAGAAAGGCTCGTAAACGATAAAACAAAAAAAATTAATAAAAAAAGAGGCTTGTAGAAATTTGTCAGCACAAGAAAAAGTTTTAGTTTTGTTGGAAATTTTTCTTAAACCACAATATTTTATAATATATAATATTCGTTTAGGAATGCTTTTTGACAAAAATACATCGATGTTTTTCTTTGATTCGATGTATCGAAATGTACGCCGATATTTTTCGATGAATCGAAGGGCATACATCGATGCATCGATTTCCATAGGATTTTTCAGATAATGTTTCACAACAAAAATATATTATTAGCAAAGTTGTAAGAAATTTGAAATAAATTACTACAACTGAGCTAATTATGTTTCTAACGAAACCTTTAGGAGCCATTTAATTTTTTTGGTCAAAGCCATCGCTTTTTTTTGTACAATTGAAAAACTGGACGGTTCAATGTACTAGGAATGCCAGTTAAAAAAAAAACATCGATTCATCGACTAATTATTTATACATCGAGTGGAAAATTTTCGATGCATCGATATTTTCCGACATCTCTACAAAAAACTACTCGAAAACAAATCGTAAACGGCTTCCATAACCAACTTTTTATCCGGTTTTTCTTCGAGAAAATATCCAGTTACGAGCTCGTTTACGCTGATTTTGTTGGCTAGGGCTAGATTGCTTCATGTGTATATATGTACGTCCTAACGAATCAGAATAGCGAAAGCTGAGTGGAAGATCGACTTATCTCGGCAGCTAGTTCGAAAACGACCTATCTCAGAATTTTACTAAAGAACGCCGTATTTCAGAATTTTATTAAAAAACGCCCTATCTAAATGAAAATGTATTGAAACTGTGCTGAGTTAGGGCGTTTTTTAACCGATTTCTGAAATAGGGTGTTAATGAAAAGTTTTCTGAGATAGGGCGTTTTCGAACTGGCTGCCGAGATAGGTCGATCTTCCACTCGAGTGTCGATATGTACATATATAATAATCGATTCTCGTCACAATCCGAACAAATTAAAAAACGAATTGATTTCTCTTTTAATAAAATATTATTCAAGGCCACTTTTTGATCTCATCTTGAAACCAATTCATTATTTTTCACAAGTCTAATGATCTAGTTCTTTCTTTACAAACATGAAGGAGCGTCGCATGGGTCATTTGTGTACGGAGATAATTTTCCAATCTCGGCAAGTCCCTGGAACCGTCATTATCAAATTGACTAAAAGCCCTGCTGTAGTAGCAGAAGATTTTCGAACTTAGTCGGCTATTTCAGCGCATGTTTTACAATATTTTGAGCTAAGGATAGAGGTTAGACAATTCAAAATGCCTCCAGCAGACACAATCCCATTGTAGGTATGCATCAAGAAGTATATTTTCCAATGACTGCAAAGCACACACAATCATAGCAAAATGAGTTCGATTACGGTGACATCATGTAGAAATTAATATCTGTGAGATACAATTTTGCATACACATTAGGGGTATTCTCTGAGTCTCGCAAAGCCCTTATTTAGTTATTAAAGTTTTTCTTGTACAAATATTTGAAAAAAAATTGAAAAACAGCATCAAAAGTCGCATTATTACGATTCCGTTAATTTTTTTTTTTAATTTTTAAAAAATATTTTAATGCAAATTTTTTAAGCTTAAACCGTTTTGTCATTTGAGAAGATTTTTTCAAAAAAAAATCTTTCAGAAACTATTGTTATTCATAAAAAACTCCATTTTTAGAGGTATTTTCAAATGGGTACAGATTTTATAATTCCATTGGAAAACCGATTTTTTTTTAATGTGGAATGATGCAGTCTAATATACATATGTACATTTGTGTGTACATACATATTTCTCCGCCTGGGTAAAAGACTATCGTATGTTAATTTCGGCAGGTTGTGGAAAACCGCGATGGAAGTTTGAAATACAATTTCTCAAAAACGCGAAGATAGATTTTCTCCAAAGTCTCTGAAAATGTTAATAGTTCACAAAACTCTTAAATTATTTAATTTTTAATGTTTATTTTTAATTAGTTTTGAGGATTTTCTTTAGAAAATTTTTTTGGCGTAAGCGCCATTTGTCCACAATTTGGCAGTCACTTTGTATGAAATACGACAAAATGTGATCAAAATTTCTACTAAATTAACGACACTTTTTACTCCATACCTCGGAAACTAAAGGAGATATACAAAAATGGAGAGCACTATTTCTAAGATATTGATTAGTTTAATATGACTGTATCATTAACTAAATTTTTACTAAATTATCGAAAAAATTGTAGTCACTATCTCGGAAACTAGAGGTGATATCTAAAAATTGATAGCACCAATCGAAAGACCTTATTTCAAGATATATAACTGCATCTAGAACTAAAAATCGTCAAAATGGCGCTTACGACAATCTTTTACCCAGGCGACGATTTGCACCTCGTGCAATTCATTTTCTTTTCAAGCTTTCCATTACTTCGCTCTTTATTTTTTACGTATTACTAATAGTGCAAATATCTTTGAGAGAATGGCAAAAACACCTGCGCTACGTACATGCATACATATGTATACATACATACCTATAGGTACAGATGCGTACTTACCCCTACATACGAAAATAAATACTGCATAAACTGCAGTGTTGCCATTTACATTTTTGGCGTCAGATTTATAAACAAAAATCGCTAGAATCCCGGTAATCATTTAAATTCTCTAATCACTTTATAATTAGTAGTAAAATTTTATTTAATAAAATTGTTTATAAAAAAATCTGCCTTGTCCAGAGTTTCGGACGAAAAAAATTGTCCCGACCCGCTAGTCACCGAATTATATATATTACCGCTAAGTATAAAATAAAGTCGCTAGGTTTAGTAGGCAAATGTCTCAAATGGCAACACTGATAAACTGTGCAGTGAGCCTTCTTATCTTATCACAATGTTAACAATTTATTCAATAAGACATGGAATTTTATGATTCAGAAGAGTGAATAAGAAATCTTCAAATGTACGTGAAAAGTTGGATTTATACGATACTTATGTAAGTTAACACAGCAAGTCTAAATGTTTAACCATATTAATTAAGCGCAACACTAAAGGAATTTAATTAATTTATAACAAAAGTGAACGGATATAAAGCGAATATTCGAATTTCATCCATACACAATAAATTCGAACCGCACGTACGGATATTACTAGCCCGAATATAAACTTTATACTAATCGTATGCAAATGCACATGCGTGAATACATAAATACATATGTACATATACATATTTCGCATATGCAAGTTAAAAACAAAACAACAAATGACGACAACTACTACATATTATTAACTTGTTTTTGTACTCTTTTTTTTCCAGAACCAGTTTGGAGCATTGTAAAATTAGCATTCCAAATCGTAACCTACGACAACACGCTGTGTTCTGTAGAAAGTCTACGTATGAGAGTGTAAAAGCATACACCATAACAACAACAACGAAACTTCAGTTTACTCTCCACCATCTTTACCACAAATTCAACCACAATAAAATAAACAACAATATGGGTAATCCGATCTGGTTCATTTTTTGGTTTTTAGTTTTCTGGTTCATTTCTTTCATTGTGGCTGGTTTTTCTGCATTCTGCTATATAATACTGTATGCGCTAGAAGTCATCTTTAGTGGTTTATCGGTGAGTGCAATTGTTAATACACACACACACGTAGATACATATGTAGTAAATATGGGGCTTCCCAGCCCACTCGGACAGCACATTTGCCATTTGCCTTTTGCAGCTCCGATTTTTTCTAATAATTTTTCATGTTATAGTTAGTAGTTGAGAGAGGTATCCCTGATCGTTTTTATGTTTTTCGTCCAGCCGTTTTCGAGATACAAATTTTTGAAAAAAAAACATTCATTTTTTTAAATGCAAGTATGAGCCGATTGGCATCATTTTTTATTTGAAATTTTTCATTTTCAAAACACTTTTGGACTATAAAATCGAAACAAATTTAAAAACCGTATTTCTAAAAAAATTTAAAATTTGTAATATAAAATGTCGATTTTCAAAACTCACGTACCGATTGATTTTCTTAACAATCCTTTCTAAAAACCTGTCACCAATTTCCTAAATTGTAAGGCTAGTCCGATAATGGAATGAGCTGGTTTATTACTACACCTCTTTTCGAATTCAGCTGCAGCTTCAGCTCCGTCTTTATATTCATCTTCAACTTTGCTTCCAGTTTCAAGATGTGTCAGTCTACGATTCATGATACGTCGGCAGTCAAAAAGAATGTGCTCTAGGGTTTCCTCCACAAAACCGTCATTCCATCTCTACAGAAAGCCCCATTTTGTTCCAATGGTACTTTAACTTGTAGTGTCCTGTCTCATTCCCTTTGACCTCCGCCAGTGGACAGCAATCTAAGATTCTTCCCAACTCCAAAGGAGCCCTGCAGTGCATCCTTTAGCTGTGCCGCCGAGAGGCTCGCGATCATGCATGCGCGTTTGAGCTCCACGTTTTGCAAAACAGCCAGCCCCGTCGTTGAAGTCAACCCTTCATGCCCAGGGACCCACCATAGTGTCACTCTATTAAGGGCTACCAGGCTATTCAGGGTGGCGGGATCATACAGGAATGGCTTGAGAACCTCCAGGTGACCCCGAAGATCGCCAATTTGTACGCAGATTATATTGACTAGCCGTAGGGCGCTTCAGTAGGCATCCTTTTCAATCAGAATGGACAGAGGAGGAATGCCTGTAATCAAACCAAGGGCATTGGCTAGACATGTGCGCATAGCTCCTGTTATGGGCACACTGACCAAGCGGCGCAGCTTGCTTACTTCGTTTGCTTTTACCCACCAGGCTATTGCCGCATGTGTAACAAAGGGGTTTCACGACCCTACTGTGAGACTAATAGGCTAGTTTGGGTGATATTCCCGACTATGTGCGTATAACACATACGGACTCTATGTATAATTCTAAGCAACTTTGCCAAAGAAACCATGCGTCTAAAATCATTTTGGAGTTTGCCAAATTGCGAAAATCGGTTTCTTAGCAATTTTCTGTTGTGTCGTATACAAGACCAAAATTAAAACAAAATGCTATAAGGGATTTTTTGGTATGAGGAATCCGTTTCAGCACCTATATTTTTCTTAAAACTTCCACCAGTCGAGCAGTGAATATTTTCACATTTTCTTCGAAACTTATTTTCACAATGTATTTTTTTTCGGCAAATTTGCTTAGAATTGCACATAGAATCCTCTTTTGGTATATGCGCATAGTAAAAAAAAAATTAAAAATTACCCGCCCTAATGTACTTACTCCTTTTTAAAAAATACTTATTGTGGCGAATACCGCGGCAACACAAAGCGAACAACGAGAAATAGGCA